AAAGATTCCATACGCAAAATTCCAGAGCTTCCCTTCCCTTCCCTTCCCTTCCCTTCCCTTCCCTTCCCTTCCCTTCCCTTCCCTTCCCCTCCCTTCCCCTCCCTTCCCCTCCCTTCCCCTCCCTTCCCCTCCCTTCCCCTCCCTTCCCTTCCCCATCTGATCCAAATCCTCCACTCAAAGCAGGGCCAGATTCTAGGTTAGGTCAGGTTGCTCCAGGTCATATACAGGCAAGGTTTGAATGTCTTCAGGGATGGAGATTCCACAGCCTCTCCAGACAACACATTTCATTATTTAACTACCATGACTGAGACATTTTCCTAATACCTGGAATTTCCCTCTTTGCAACACCTGCCCATTGCCTCCTGCCTTTTTGTGTTTAACCTCCCAGAAGAGTCTAGCTCCACCTTTCCTGTTACCTTCCATCAGGTACTTGAAGACGGTCTTGTACTGTTGTGGTATCCAAGCATTTAGAGTATAAAAAGGGTGTCAAATACTCAGATTTGTCGGGATATTTAACACAAACCCCATTCAGAAGCCTCTTTTTCAGTGTGGGAGTCTTGGCATGATCCTTTTGGATTCAGTGATGAACATCCTACCGATGTCAATGGAGATATAACCTGGCTCCGTATGGTTCAGAAATGCTCCCATATACTGCACCGTTTGCTCCTATATGCCGTATTACAGGTGCTCTGGGTTCGGTTTTGTTTTTTTCCTTTTTTTTTTTTTTCCCTTTTTTTTTTTTTCCCCATTTCTTTTAAATAACTTCCAGGAATTAACAGGTATGTTTTCATACTGTTGCTGTACGGAGCAGGTTGTCAAGGGTAAATGTTTTTGTAAACAAAAATCTCAGTTGTAGGATGTTACTAAGTTACAGTTGTTAAACAGAAGATAGTGGCTTTTGATTCTTTCATACAAGATAAAAAGAATTGAGGTGTGTAGGAAAGATAGCTTTGGAAAAGTAGAGGTAAGGAATTCATTTAGCAATATTTTCTGAAAGAATAACTACCCAGAAGTGTAAACAGAGAAGGACAGAGACAGCCACAACAGCAACAAAAGATCCTTCTGCATGTGTGTCTGAAGTGAAGAGTCCATAAGGACATAGTCAAATAACGAATCGAGACATTATTCCTTTTTTTTAATATACATACCTATATTTGCATAACAAATGCAAACATACCTGTCTGGAGAATCTGTTAGAAAATGTGCAAGTATCTAACAACTGCTTATTAAAAAGTGTGTATTGCCAATTCCTGAAGGGAAAACTGAATTAGATTGATCACAATCTTACCTGATCTGCTATAAAAATTCCCAAGTTCTTTTTTATGCAAGACAGAATCTGCTGATGGAATCATATAGTTTCCTTCCAAATCGCATATGCCAGAGGATGGTCTCCTTCCACTTCTCTGTTTATTTTCTTAAAAATACCACTAAAAGCACAAGGGATTTGAAACACTGAAATGAAATGATTCCTGCATAAACTAGCAGAAGTAAAACACCAGCGGGAGAGCTTAAAAAGGTGAAATGTGTTAATGATGTCATTACCACTAGGTCACCTGTTGCCATAAGTGGGAAGGAAAGTGCACTTCTTAAACCGCGGGCTACTGTTGTAGCAAGTTATCACAAGGTCTTGTCAGGACTACTTGATATTTCGTTACGTGTATAATTTGCAGAGGGCACGATTTGGTAAGTATACTGATAAACCAAGCTGGAATAAAATGATTTTAAAAGGATCCCATTAACCCTAAATTTCCTGGCTTAGAAGTTTTAGAAGTTTTATTCAAAGTTTGAAGTTTGACATCATGAATTCAATGACTTTTTAATGTACCACATTATCACACTCATGGCAAATACTTCATGATTTATAACTGGGTTCCTTTATTTTCCTTGTGTCCATTTCCCCTTTCCTTTTTCTCTTTTCTCTTCCGCTTTATATGTAAACTGCATATAGTGTTTTCCGTCTCAGGAGCTCAAAGTCATCAAAAATAACTATGTAATGCTTTTGCATTCAAAGATTTCACTTCCTCATAGAATAAAGCAGTGTATGTGTACATACAAATTAGAATATTATTTGGATTGATACTTTTAGTACCTGTATGCAAATACCTTTTCTTAATGTGCAATGCATGGCAGTTACATTTAGGCGTAACCTTGTTTCTTCACTATGACATAGACTTAATGATAACTAAATTGCAACTAATATTGTAATTAATTTTAATATGTAATTAATATTGCAATTCATTATGAGATTCATGCAATTCATGAGGGAACTATCCAATATCATATAGAGACTTCAGTGATGGCTAGTAGCTGGGAGTCCTCAGAAACATTTTTAAAACCACTTAAGATAATTACTTTCTTTTAAATTCCAGAGATCAGTCTTAAAATATCCATGAAGTATTGTTAGGAACTTATTTTTTAGTCTAGAAATTATCTCGTCTGCTAAATCTGTCATTAGACTGGGCACTTTATTAATATTATTTTTGGAGCAAATCACAGAATCACAGAATTATTGAGTCTAGAAAAGACCTCTGAGATCATCGAGTCCAGCCTATGACCCAACACCACCACATCAGCCAGACCAGGGCACTAAGTGCCACATCCAGCCTCTCCTTAAACCCCTCCAGGGACGGTGACTCCACCACTTCCCTGGGCACTGCATCCCAGTGCCTGAGCACCCTCTCCATGAGGAAGTGTTTCTTGATATTCAACCTAGATGATTGGAAAGGACCGATGTCAAAGAAAGGAAATTGCACTCTTAAATATTCACATCCTTGGATTACATGCCAGTGTCTTTAAGGTAAAAATTCATGAGTGGACTGTGTAGAGCTTTGTGAGATAAATGTTGATTCAGCATGAGGAATGTGAGGGAAAAAAATTACACACATAGACATCCCCACTCGTGTACAAATGAGAAATACTTCATTATTTTTCCCACAAATGTAAAGTAGCTAATCATGCAAGTGAAGGGACGAAACCAGACCTAATAGCCAGTGGTGATGCTTGAGTCTTCTTGCAGATGTCCCACAGCAGGTTTGGATGTTTCATAGAATCAT